TGATTCACATTCTCTAATCCTCTTCAGCCTACAATTGCAATAAACAATGAGTATACTAGTGTGATTTATGTATTGTACTAATGAAAAATTGGAAATATCAAGTCTTTGTAAACTTATTAATCAAGAAGCATCATAATAAGTGGTGTTTAGGACACTATATATAGTGAATTCTGCTAAATTTCCACCTTGCAAACTGTAATTTTGCAAATTCTACCACGTGCCAATCAGGTACAGTACTAAACTGATTTTGGGAGCTTTATTTTTGTAAATCAAGAAGGAATCTGTCAAAAGAAATAAAATGCCAGCTATGCAAGCAAGTGATGAAAAAAATCTTAGGAATATTTTTACGCTAAATGTCAAGATCATAAAACATGAAGTTTACTGACCTTGCTTTCTCTGCCTCTTGTATTTTTGATCTCTCCTTAAAGATCTGTTAACACTTCTATTGTCTCTCTATTGTCTCTAAATGATCATAAACAGTATGAATAATGTTTGTGTGTGTGTTCATTAGTACTTGTAATATATGACATATCCATCACCAAATAGTCTTAATGAAGATCTGTCTGAAGTGATGGAATACCATTTCAACTTTTCTCAATATCAAGACATGATATCTCAACTGGAAATAACATTCCCTAATAGTTAGAGAGGGAGAATCTTTAATATTATTTTAATGATTAACCTCTGTATGATAGATGTACTCCATAGGAATTCCACTAAACTCTGACAGCTGTAAAACAATAATAATAATGTGATACTGATACATTTATGCAATCAATCTTTATTATAATAGCTATACCTTTTTAATAACATTCTTAGAACTACACGTATCTATAATTTCTTCTATTGGATCAACTGAACATTGTGATGGATACTATCTTATAACATACACCTGTATCTGTCCATCATACTTCTTCTCTGGTCCTAATAAAAAATAAATATTAATACAATAACATAAAATAAGCTCCAAAATTTGTCAAGCATTTTTATATGGGTAGCATGCAGATCTATAAAAAAATTATTTTATTGACAAAAATTAATTTTAACAAGAAAATAAGATTTCGACTAATGAAAATTTGGAGCTGTATGGTACGGTGTATAATAAGAATATACTGAGATACCGTATGGTATAGTGCATTAATTTGGTAGAGTTTTATTTTGGCGATTGGTTTGCAAATCACCAATATTAAAACTGTCAATAATTAATGTGCATGTTCTGTAACGTATGTGTACACAAATATGCCAAATTTAAAATTGCCAATTATACAGCAAAATTGTCCGAATAAAGCACCACCAAAATAAAGTGCTATATGGCATACTGACCTTTCAATGTTTCCACATACATTTCCCTACTAGCATTAACCCGCTGATCATCAAGATATACTGTACCAGGGACACTCCATTCTTTTTACGTAATCTCATTCTACACAATGAGTAACATGATACTCACATGATGTACTTACTT